TCAGCGATCCTTTTTTTATATAGCTCTAAATAGTACAGATAGAGACTTTTTTGCTGTTGTTGCGCGAGAGTGGAATGACCTTGCATTGAATGACACGAATTTATCAACTATGAAAATATCTAAATTAAGCGATACTTTAAAAGGTCAGTATATGTCAACGGGTGTTCTTTCTAAAAAGTTAAGGTTTTCTACGCGACGGGAGGAAGTGATCTTCATGCGGGTAAAAGCAAATTTTCCACCGCTAAATTACTATCTCCACCGACGTAGTTATACGGATTCACCTAAATGTAATTGCGGAAATAATAGGGAGGATATCCAACATTATTTTTTGCACTGTTCCCTATATGATACTCAACGACAAGATCTTTTACTGAAACTTTCTTTTATGCCTGCATTCTCAGTTGACACCTTGTTACTGAATGGCTTAACCTTTGATCATGATATTTTAACATGTATACTGGATGCAGTCCTCTTGTATATTCAGCAAACGAATAGATTTGAATAACTGCAGACATAGTAGTTTTCAATTTCCAATTTTATGATATTCATCCTTTCCTTGTCGTCTGGCCTGACTTCTTAGTTTTTTATATTGTTACTCTTTTTTTTCTTATCCATAATTCCCTTCTGTGAGCACCTACGGACAACATCTTTATTATTGTTAGGTCCATAATAGTCTTTGACCGCTGACCTTTTCTTTATCAGAATCAATAAAGATATACATCAACCGCATAATGTGATTTATCCTTTATTTTATAGCAATTGAGCGAAAGTTTAGCAGACTATTTATACTTTTGACTAGAACAAAGTCTCCTGAATCGAATGATGAAAGAAGTTTTAAAATCGGACTTAAATTGAGTGAGTTATGATCAGGAATGTGAGCAATGTTGCGATCGTTCACATCACTACTGATTTTCTACACCAAGAGAAAAAACAATAAACAGATTTCTTTATATCTTCCTTGTTTATTACTACCATTTTTTGTTCTTTCTTTTCTCAGTCTAAATTTGCAGTAGTGTGGAGCACAAGTGAAAAGATTTCTACGGTGAAATTTGTGATGCGACTATTTTAATGATAATAGGAGTTAACTGATGTGTATTTTTCGCAAATTTTATACTGTTTCGATTAAAAAAATTATTTTTCTATGATAACCGGTTATTAAGAGAAGGGTTCTACAGTAGGCGGATTTACACAAAAAACATGTTTTGACAGAAAACGTTGTGCATTGATAGATGTATTTTCGGACATGTAGGAAAATACTTGTAACTTTTTAATGCAAGATCATACAGAGTTGTGCGACGTCTCATTAAGATCAGAAAAGTCTGCACTTCAAATCCATATGTTCAGAAAAAATTTCGCTTTCATAAGTATCTACATATTTCTGATGAGTTTGAATATATAAAAAACTGTATAAATAGCCTTTTAATTTGTTGGAAGCTCTGTCAGGTGAGCTGGCAGTAGTGGCTCAACCTTTACTTTAAATAAATTTACGAATAAATTTGCTAAATTGACTGTACTGTTTCCTGGGTAGTGATTAACTTTGTTGGTTAGCCTATCTCTCCGTCTCATCCACTAAGACACGTCTGGAGATCTTTCAGCGCTATACCACTAGGTCTCTGCTCTTGATTCATCAACCTTTTTCAACAGAGTGGGAACAATTATACAACAAAAATTTTTTTTACTCACGTTTTTGCTTTAACGAAAAGTTGATAGCAAGGAGATAAACGCTCGACAACGTATGAGTTGCAGTTTATTTATTACTGACTTAATAGGACGATGAATTTATTAGTAAAATTGATTATTTGAATTATTTTTTAAAAGTACATATCGCCCGTCAGCTTTATTATAAAGTAAGTCGTAACATAGTGTATAAACTAGAAAGTTTATATGGATGATATTTTGAGAGAATTTAAATTTTCAAGATGCTTTAAATATAACTTTAGAGCAAATTATTTATTTTCATGATTATTTAATAATGATTGTAGTTATAATTTTAGTAGTGAACAGTAAGCCTACCTTTTTTCTTTCCCTCTAATTACTATTTCTTCTCCTACTCGAGGGGAACAAGTGTATGTGTATGTAACAAATAGGGAAAGTAGAATACAAAGGATACCAACAAAAATGCATATAGTGAGAGATTTATGTGATTTCTCTACCATAACAAAAAATCTTGTATCTCAAGAAGTAAAACTGGTGGAGATTTGAGACTTTCGCAGTAGTGAGTACTTGTGTAGCCCTAGTTGGCATAAAAGTTTCAAGTGTATACGATGTTATTTGGCTGAAATATGAATTTTTCTATTTTGGCCGATTTGTGCTCGGAAAATCAGAAAAATGGCTCGAATGAAAATGGCAAATTGGCAATTGGCTTTCTGAATATTTATCTGAATACACTATTCTGCCAATTCATTGCGAATCGATGTGAACGCTTATTAAGGACCAGACACATTTCTCTGAGGTTGACAATAGATAGATTCGTCTCTTCTCATCGATTCGCATAGTTATCATATCAATTCGCGGTTAATTTGACGAATTCGTAAAATACGAATTGATGTCAAGGACCAAACACATTTCTCGGAGGTTAAGAAAATCTCTATTTCTCTTTGTTTGCTGATGCAATATGTGTTCTGACGCAGAAATAATATGTAGAAAAAAAAAAAAAACGAACACGACATCATACGGACCTACTTCTTATTAAACCTTATAATACTCAAGCTACCACTCGAGTTTAAAAGTTTATTTCACCCTGAAGCCTACTTCCGTGTGCTGAAGTCATAAATATAATGTCACTCCAAGTTTACATTCTCTACAAAAGTCTTGGACGAGAGGAATATACGTCTAATGCGAAGGTATCTCACCATCAATTAATATTTCGAACGTCAACAGACGATTTTTATTGCACCGAATTAACAAATGCAGATGGAAGTTATTCTTCGGGAACAGCCTCTCTGCAACAGGAGTTTTCCGGCAAAGGACCTAGAGTGAAATTAACATTTGAAACATATGAATTTTACAGTGGAACGTAAGTTTATATTCACGTCACTCTTTAGAGTGATGGGTGTTACAAAAAAACTCTAAATGAAAGCCCTTAAAGGTTTGTTGGCGTGTCTGTCTGTCCGACCTTTCCCCGAAATGGGATAGGGCTTGTTGTAGAATCGCACTTTTCTGCAACAAAACGCCGCTTTCTCAAATAAGTAACTGCAAAATTGTGAGATACCTTTTCTGAAGGTGGATTTTTTTACAGAAAAGCACACTTTTTGGTCCGCCACATCAGTGAAATCGCAGTTTTGCGAAAAAAAAACAAAAATTTCTTTCTCTGATGAGCTCTTTTGATAAAAAAAAAATTAACAAGAAATTATACCGAAAATATTTTCGACTCGTGACGGGTTCGGATCCAGGTGGGTTCATTTCATTTTTATCGTTCTGGGTCCGGGACTAGGTACTAAAGAAACAAAACTCGGGCTTGGGTCGGGTCTCGGGTACAAAAAAGTGGACCCTTTATAATCTAGCCTTTCGCACCTCGGTTTGTACAAACGTGTATTTGGCTGGGTAAATTGCCAAAAGAGTGACGGGAGCACCTCGACGAGGCCCTACTTGTTAAAAAATCTGTTGTTCTTCATTTTAACTTATGTCTTCCTCATTCTAGGATTTATTATAAATCTGTCGGTACTACATCGAAAAGTTTAAAAGAGATAAAAAAATATGTTAAAGAACATAGTTCTCAAGATACTATCTACGATGTATTTAAAAATAATTGTCAGCACTATGTTAGGTCCGTCATTGAAGATTTCTTAAAATTGGGTTATCCAGCTGGATTAGTGAAAACAGCTAGCAAACCAAAGGATCTTGAGGTTCTCAATCAACAGGCCGAGTCTTCAAGTGAAAATAGTAGTAGAAGTTCGCAACCTGTAACGGCCCGAAGATCGTCGCCTGTAATCACACCAAGATATTCACCTGGCACGACACGAAGATCGTCACCTGTAACGACACGACGAGAAAACAAAAGCATTCCCTATGATATTTTCCGATCGGAAGGAGGAGGTTGTTGGGGTCTCCCGCGCGATTGGAAATTTAATCGTTTGGGTAGTTGAGTACTCTCTGTAAATAATTATTCGATTTTTATTTTTTCACGTATAGTTAAAAGGTTACCATTTTTTTAGTTGTTCTAAGCTTGTTCTTATTGTTAACCAAGGAAAAACTCTTTGTTTTTAAAATAAACATGATTCTGTCGTTGAAATTAGATAATTTTTGGCCTTCTGTTATAGTTTAGAATGGTTATGTTTGTAGAACAGTTACTATTTCCATAAGCAATTTTGCTTCTGCCTATGTGTAAGAGTGTCCAAAATCACTTTTTTAGGTCCCGTCAAATTTTTAGGTCCCGGTCGAGGTGAAGCCTAAAACAATCAATATCGCTGTCCTGGATGTAAAACAAAGTTTAAACCGCAAGGTATTACGAACCATGTAAAGGCCTGCATAAAAGCGGTAGGGTGGTGCAAGAGGAATAAGATCATACGGAAGACAGCTAT